TTTTGACGGGGTCAAAGACAGTCTCCTGCATGCACCAATACTGGCGCTGCCAGACCCTTTTCGTCCTTTCAGTGTCGTCTGTGACGCTTCGGACTCTGTCATCGGCTGTGCACTGCTGCTACCAGACGAGGGGCGGGATTGGGTCTTCGCATTCGAATCTCGACAGCTCAAAGCTGCAGAGAAGAACTACCCAGTGCATGACAAGGAGCTACTTGCGATGAAGTATGCACTTGTCAAGTTCAGGGGCCACCTGCTCGGCCCCAAGCGTTTGTGATCTATACAGATCATGCGTCGCTACGCACTGCGACTCAGTCGCCACCTCTCGCAGAGGATGGCTATATGGTTATCCTCCTTCACGTAATATAACTTCGAGGTGAAGTACAAGCCGGGAAAGCAGAAAGCTTTCGCTGATGCGTTGTCACGCAGAACAGACAATGAGCTTGCTCATGTTAGAACTGTAACGTCGTCTGTGACAGATTTGATCCGCACCGCGTAAGCGGGTGATAAGATGAGTATAGCGTTGTCTCTAGGGAGCAAGGAGTTTGGAAACTCGGACAAGAACTTGTCGTCAAGATTGCGTGCACGATTGCACCGATATTCGTTGAATTACGGTTTGCTATATTATAGATCCGAATCAACGGATACACCACGAATTGTAGTTCCTCATGATAACGATTTGAAATATCGCATTCTCTATGAGGATCACGACACGCCACTCAGTGGTCATCTCGGTCGTGAGAAAACATACAACTCTGTGAGTCAACGCTATTGGTAGCCCAAGTAATACAAATGGACGAGCACATATGTGCGCTCGTGTGAGATGTGTCAACGGGTGAAATCCTCTCCAAACGCGACTGCGCCGCTGGCCAGCGTACCGGTACCCACTGGGTGCTGGCAGTCCATGAACTTGGACTTTGTGTTTGGCCTGCAGAAAGATTCGGCGAACAACACGGGTGTCGTGGTATTCGTCGACGGGTTGGGCAAGATGGCTTATTTGGCTGCGGTGTCAGACACCATCGACGGAGTCGGTACAGCAACGCTGTTCGTGGATCGTGTTTTCCGTCCACACGGACTCCCAGAGTCGATTGTCTCTGACAGCGACCCCCGTTTCACGGGAAAATTTTGGTTGACTATCTTCAAGGTGCTAGGCACCAAGTTGGATATGTTGACAGCGGATCATCTGCAGACCGATGGTCAAACCGAATGGGTGCATCGCGTCATCGAAAACGTTCTTCGCAGCGTCTGCGCTGAGTCGCCGAGGCGCTGGAGCGCCATGTTGCCAATCGTAGACTTTGCACTGAACAATGCAGTGCATTCGTCTACCGGCTACACGCCGTTCTTCGTGAATGGGCTGATACACCCTCGCGTCCCACTGACGCCGCCATCTCATTGTTCAGGGGTTGGTTGGGGAGGAATAGCCGAACGGCTGGCTGATATCAGCCCCCTCACTATCCGTAAAGAAGTTGATGACTTCTTGTCTACCAGACTAAGTGTTCTACGACACGTTTGCGATGCGATGGCCGAAAGCCAAGACCTGTAAAAAAATATGCAGATGAAAAAGGTAGAGGCAAAGTGGAGCGTTTTAAGGTCGGGGATCTGGTTTATCGAACACTCAAAACCTTCCTACACATGCTGCATGTGCATTCTTCAGGACGAAGCTTCGTCCTTGGTTTATCGGACCGTTTAAGGTTGTGGCCAAGCGGGGTCTACGGTATACA